AGTGGCTGTGGCTCCTGCTGCTGCCAGCCCATCTGCTGTAGGACCACCTGTTGTAGGACCACCTGCTGCCGTCCCAGCTGCTGTGGTTCCAGCTGCTGCAGCCCCTGCTGTGGTGGCTCCAGTGGCTGTGGAGGTTCTAGTGGCTGTGGCTCCTGCTGCTGTCGCCCCTGCTGCTGTGTCTCCACTTGCTGCCGCCCCATCTGCTGCCACCCCATCTGCTGCAGGACCACCTGCTGCCGTCCCAGCTGCTGTGGCTCCAGCTGCCGTAGCCCCTGCTCTGGTGGCTCCAGTGGATGTGGAAGCTCCAGTGGCTGTGGGTCCAGCTGCTGCCACCCCACCTGCCTCCAGACCACCTGCTGCAGGACCACCTGCTGCCACCCCTGCTGCTGCTAGTCTGTTTGCTCTCAGCCACCCCAGGTGCTAGCTCCTGCAGGCCCTCCTGCAGCATCACCAATAGCTGGCAGAATACCTTTCGCAGAACCTAGTGCTGCCCTCTCACCTGCAGTGTTTCCAGCTGCTGCCACCCAACTTGTTTCCAAAACACCTGCTGCTCCCCAGGCTGTTCTAGTGGCCCCTTCTGCTGAGCACTCTGACTTCATCGCTCCTCTTCTTCAATCAATATTCTCCATGGACCTCATCTCTGAGCCCCTACATGATGGAACAATGGGACACCTCAATTCCAACCGATTATTTGAGAATTTTTGGCTTTCAAATGCACCACCCCTGCCCCATTGGATTCTTTGTCTCTTACCAATTTAAACAAGTTGGAATTTTCTCTCGCCTCCCTCTGTTCTCACCTTACCCCTTTGGACATTACTGCTTTCTGACTCACTGTCTCATATGGAGATAGACCTACATCTTCAATAAAGATGAATTTTACTGTTAGACACACATGATGGCATCATGTCTCTTTATTTTCCCTTTTGATGTGCTTTCTCTGTCATTTTTTGTTTGGATGTCTGTTAAGATTTACAAACCATAACAGACCATCTGAGATGCTCCACCTCTCTTCTGTGAGCATTTGTCGTCTAATATCTGAAGATGGTTGGAAAGCAAGCCCCTGGACCTCCCTGCCTGAGGGCTTTCTCTGGATGAAGAGCAACCTCTGGGCAGGAGGGTTTAAGGGTCCAGGAGCAGAGCTCACCCAGTGACTGGGAGTGGGTGCACAGAAGCTCCAGCTCAATGTCGCCCGGGTGGTCCTTCCAGTCCTCCCTAGGTCCTCTGTGGGACTGGACCTCCTATGACCCCAGCGTTCATTTACTCACTGTCTCCTGCCTTCTGTTCTGCCCTGAATCAATTTCCAAATGCCCTTCAGTACTTCCTGTGATCATTTCCCAGTGTTCTAAGTCCTAAGTCCTTTCTATCTGGTATATTTTCAAGGGTACAGAGACTAGGACCCCTGTATTCCCATTCTCAGTGTTGGTGTCCTTCAACAAACTTTCAAACAACATGGAGGGTCTCCACGTTGATAGGATCAACTTTCATTCTGTCTATTGAACTGATGAATCCTCTGTACAAATTTTTTATTATTTTTTACTAATTTCTTCATAGTTTCCTTTAAGATACCACTGGATGTATCACTCTATCTCTAGACCTGAGGCTCAGGGAACAATACCTGGATGGGCAACTCTCATCCTTACTGGCCTCCACCCTTGGCTCTGAGTGACGGGCTGTGGGGCTTGTTGGCTGTTGAGTGGAGGTTGTCCCAGCTCTTTCCAGCTGTCACACTGCCGCTGGATTCTTCTAAGCAAGAGACAGAAGAAGTGCCTGTAAAACAAGGTCGTTTATCTACAGGAAAGTCTGAGTCTTTGTAACTTAAGGGCTGAGTGTTGCCCTATGCTAGTGCTTAGAGGGAAATTCTCAAAAAGGTGAAACAATCACACACACAAGCACACTCCCCTCTAATATCCCCTTCGTATTAATGGAATGAAATAACTGAGGCAATGCACATACAAAAAGCAGGTTTATTTTTCTCACCATTGCGGAGGTTCCAGTTAAGAAGAAGTGGCACATATGTATTCTATGGGTCTTTGCTGAGGACGCTGAGTGGCAAAGGCAAGCAGCTTGTCATGGAGACAACTGCACCCATCCCCACCTGGAAAGAGAAGGTAGGGGTCTGCCATTCCCTCTGAGGGCATGCTTCCAAAGGCCTAATGGCTTCCCAGGAAACCTCACCTTTTCAAGGTGCATGGCATCTCCCAATTCTATTTGTATAAAATTCAAAGGCACGTATAACTAATTTACATAACAACAAATGCATACATAGGTGGATAAAGTACAAAGAAAAACAAAGATAAGACTACTCTGAAAATCAGAATAGTCATTCTCCATGGGGCAAGGAGAGAGATGAGCTCAAGAAAAGACCCACGAGAGTCCTTGGTGATGCCAACTCTATCTTCCTGGACTTGAGTTTGGGGCATGCAGACACTTGCCTGATAATTATTTACCACACTATACAGATGTATCTTGTCCACATTTCACAAGAAATGTAATTTCCATAAAAAACTCTGTTGAATTTTTGATCATTTGGTTATTGTTTTTCTCTGGTACTGGGGATATTATCTGGGGATGCTTTACCTCTGAGCTAAACCTCAAGCTTTGGTTGTTTTTATTTTGACATAGAGTCTCAGGATCCTGTCCAGGCTGACGTCCCACTTGTGATCCTCTTTCCTCGGTCTTCTCAGTGTAGGGCATTGCAGGCAGGCGCCCTTGGGCCTAATAAAAAACTGTTCTTAAGAAGTCAGGTGAGACCCCTGCCCACACGGATGCTCACTGAACTCCCACCTGCACCCGCCTAGGCCCCATTCTGCCCCTGCAGACACCGCCATGTGCTGGCTCCCCATCAACCAATACTGGGCTCCCCCAGTCTGCCAATGTCCCCTCCACGTGGTAACCTCCACCTGGGGACATTGCACAGGGTCTGGAGAAAGTGGTCCACTGGGACCTAGAAACAATATCAAGGTATCTATAGTCCCCCAACATCCCCTCCCACAGCCACCAACCCGGCAGAGTGCTCGCAGCTATGTGGCTGGCCTGTAGCTCTCCAAGCCTGGTTCTAATCTGCCCAATACAGAGCAGCTCTCCACAATAGGTGCACAGGCCCCAGTGCTAGCCCATAGGACCTCTGGAGAGAGAGTTTCCTTATGGGGGAGAAGAAAGAGAATGGGTGAAAGAGATATAGTTTAGAGACTAAATTAAAGACCAGGAATTGTGGAGTCTACAGGTATAGGGTATTGATTTAACATTGGAGCAGCCATCTTAAATGTTACCTGCCATCTTACGAGATAAGTTTCTCTTTCCTGTACTTCCTCTAACCCCAACTTCCCCCACCCTCATACTGACCTATCGCACGGAACCATAACCCTAAGCCAATCCCAGAAGGACATGACCCCTTTGCTCTGGAAAGCCCCATGGTGCCATGGATCTAAGCCAATCCTATGCTATTCCCCACCCGCCAACCTCTGACATAAGCACCCCCAAGCCTATCCCATAGCGCCACAGCTACAACTCCAAGGCCCTACCCCACACAAGCTGAACCCACCAACATCTCGGGACCCCTCTCTCCTCTCTATAGAGAGATGGACATTAGTTGTCAGCTTTGACAAATAAACTTTCTTGTGGATCTCTGCCTGGCCTCCCTCCTTCATTTCTCGCTCGCCCGTCTCTTGCTTTCTTTCTCACTTCCCTTTCAGTTACTGTAGGGGTCCCTCTTTAGAGCATGGTTAGGGATTCAATATGAACTGATAAGATGTCTCCTCAAACCTCCTGTGTTTAGGTAGAACTGCTCAGAGGTGAAATAATTGGATTGTGAAGAGCTATAATCTAAAAAGTCCATTGTGGTTTGAAAGGACTGAGTGAAAATTGCAGAAAGCTAGCAGGAGCATGTCTGAAGGAGGTGGGTCCCTGGAGGGGGGGTATCCTGGAAAGTGCCCCTTCTCTGTGGCCCCTTCCATCTTTCTGCTTCCTTACTGGGAAGTGGAGTGGAGCAGAGCCAGGCATCTTCACCATGCCCTTCTGCCACGATGTTCTGCCTTATCTTGGACCCAAAGCAGTGTAGTCCATCCAGCATGGACTGAACCTCTGATATTGTGAGACAAAATAAATAATTCCTCCTTGGGGGGTTATTATTGTCAAGTATTCTGGTCACAGCAGTGAAAGGCTGAATTACATAATGATGTTATTACCAACCCACTGTAATTCAACTAATCATAGTACATTGTAACTATGGACACAATAGGTAGGGTGTATTCATTTTAAAAAGACCATGTACAGGGGCTGGGGATGTGGCTCAAGTGGTAGTGCGCTCGCCTGGCATGCATGCGGCCTGGGTTCAATCCTCAGCACCACATACAAACAAAGATGTTGTGTCCACCGAAAACTAAAAAAAATAAATATTAAAATTCTTTCTCTCCTCCCTCTCTCTCTCTCTCTTAAAAAAAAAAAAGACCATGTACTAACATCATGCAAGTGACATCTGAAAACAAAGGTCTGTTAGCTGATTCTCTAAAGGATATACTACTATGATGTGTCCAGGCTGCTCACATAATCCAGTTCCTAGATGGGTCTTGCAAATGTCATTTGAGTCCAACTCATTCAAATTTCCTTGGTGCTTAATTAATTGGATTATTTTATTTTGTAGCATTTGAAAAAGACAAAGAAATAACAGTGTAGGGGGAAAACATCACACTTCCTGTACTACTTCAAGTCATAGCAGAGGTGAAGTTTGTATATAGACCTTAAGTAATTTGTGAGTATGGTTCAGGTATTAATTAGCCACTGTATTTCACAGGTAAAATTTACCAAGGAGTACATTCAGTGGGGTCTCTCCTGCTTTGAGTTTCCTCCTTCATCGTGCAGGTGCTAAACAGTGATTTCTCACGGTTCTTCATGCTCTTGTGGTCCATCTCATCCGTGTGAGTACAAGAATGATCCAAAACACTAAAGAGGAGTATCAGTTCTTCAGTTCACATTGTTCAAACTTCAGTGTTCCCTATTCAGGATTTTTTCTCTATTATTTAGATAGCATCAATTGAAATTTAATAATTTTGGTGACTTCTGTGCTTAATTGGAATTGATGCCAACGCATGTTATAGGGATATTCAACAAGGAGGATCTCAGCTTTGCTTCATATCAAGATAACCTGTGGGAAATGAAACTCTTGCAATGCCCAGTTCCCACCCCAGAGCAATTAAATTAAAGTTCTTCTGTGCAGAAGCTAGGTATTGGCAGTTTTTAACACTTCTCACAAGGATTCCAGTTGCAGCCAATATTGAGAACACTGGTTTGGGGGCATGATTGTCTAGACTTTGTTCTATGAAGGTAGCGTACTCAGGGTTTTTAGTTATGGTGAGACGGTTCTGTCAAACCTGCTAAATTATGTAGAAATATCTCCCTAGTAATCCAACTCCCTAAATGTATGTAGAATCGAATCGCCTCCCTAGTAATCAAGAAGATTTTCATCTGTCTTATTATTTTTTCTGTCTTGCACAGCAAATCCAGTGAAATAGCTCCATACTCGGGTCATAGAATTATTTAAATATGTCCTATTCTCCCATCTTACCAAATGATGCCTTAAAAATAAGAAAACCACCTAAATCAGATGTCTTCTAAGCAAGCAAACATGATGGAAATACTGCAAGGATCATATTCTTTAAAAGATCACACTTAAAACATAATGAAGATACTCAAGGATGTCATAATAGAGAGCTCAAATAGTCTCTTCCTTCCTGTTTCTTGACTGATAGAAGACCAATTAATGGATTTGCCTCATTCCTCATTTTTAGGAACAGTAGTCAATGGCTTTTTGCATTTGGAATTTGGTAACCTTTGAACTTTGAATTCACCCTCACTGTGAATATGTGTCAGCTGATATCCATTATCAAAGATATCTGTCATCTTTCTTCACTCTGATTTATTTTGCTCTGTTTGTTTCCTTACAGAATAGAACCTAAATGGCAAAATCTGATCAATATTGTCAAGAAGAAAGAAGACACAGCATCTTCAGAGCAACTCGGTGGAGACAGGAAGTAGCCGGTTGGAGTTATATGGGGAATGAGGAAACTCAGTGGTGGTCAAGTGAGCCCTGGACACAGAAGACGTGAGTCAATATGGCCTGTAAAAACCACAAAGACAGGACAGCAAAAGCACAAAGAAGCACTTCCCTACCAAGGGGAGAATTGCAGACCCTGAAGCTCATGGTGTGACTGATCTCTACAGCCAAATTCCCCCAACAGACCATATATTTGCTTTTAGGAAATATGTTCCTGAGGAAAGAAAAATGTGCATTTTTCACTACATAAGTTTCCACCAGGTAAAAATTATGTGTATCCCATTAAATATCTATTTAGAGTATAGAATGGGAAATGGGTCCTAATGGTCTTCCTGCTCTCATGCATGGTCTAAAAAAAAAATTTTGCCCACCAGACCCATAAAGAATGAGGTATCTGCTGGGGATGTGGCTCAAGCGGTAGCGCACTCGCCTGGCATGCGTGCGGCCCGGGTTCGAGCCTCAGCACCACATACCAACAAAGATGTTGTGTCCGCCGAGAACTAAATAAAATAAATATTAAAAA